TCTGAGCATTACAGGATCCCTCAGTCCTGGCTTCCTCGGTGTTCCCATATCAGGCACAAGTTGTGTTTCTGCTGATGCAGTGTCTTCTGAGTTGTCTCCTGGTGTAGATTGCCGTGTGTTTCACAGGAAAGAGGATAAACGATACCGAGTCATTGAGCTTATAAGTAGCACACTGGCAACCCGCCACCAAAATATAAATACATTAAATGTACTGAAGGAATGTTCATTCTGTTGTTTAGCCTTGGATATGCCCCAGTTAGGTAAATTTAATCTTCTTGAGGGTTGTTGCGTTACAGCTGAATGAGATAGGCCATTATCTTATTACTGATCTTTCTGTCATTCAGGATTCATGTTCTGGCGTTCATAGTGTGAAGTGTGCTTGCCCCAGGGCGGTCCTAGAAGTGTTTTCCAAGGGAGATGAAGGTGCATAGAGGATCTGTTAGCATCTTGCAAGTTTTGACCCTCTATCTTGGAAATGTTCATGCTCATTGTCAGTGATGCCACTTCTGGTCCAACCTCCTGTTGGTAGAAATGCACGAAATGGTGGCTTTGCCTGTGTTTGCTAGGAAATGTCTGTAACTCAGTCTCACAGCATTTATTTTTTTCCTGTGTATTTCTTCTGCAGCTCCTTCCAAAATCACTGTCTGTGCCTCTGCTGCTGCTGAGGTTAGGAACAAAGCTCTTGATGACTCTGGGGTGAGCAGGGGCCAGTGTTAAGCAACAGACCCAAAGCTGATGGACTGCATTAAAGAGGAGTCTCTTCGTTGTTTCCCACTGGTGCTGGGTCAGGCCCTCCAAATGTGATCCTACAGCATTAATGCTTGTGACTAATCCCACTGAAACCCAGGGAGCTGCTCCCATGTGTAAGCACTACCAAATCCAGTGTGCAGTGTTAACAAGCACTCTGCAAGAGTTTAGCTCTTCTCATGGTTGTACAATGAAGGGAAGGGATGAGGCAGGAAAAGGGAAGGAAAGGGAATACATGAGCAGAGAAATTCTGAGCTGGTTGTGGAGAACAGTGATGTTCTGTACAGAATGCAAGTACTTAAAAAAATAAGACATCAGCTGTGTGTTCTATAGATAAGAAAATGTTGTTTTATTGAATGGAGAGATATATATGTTTCACCTATCACATCTGAACTAATCAGTGTAGGCTTTTAGAAGAAATCTGTAATTACTCTGAACATGTCATTAGTTAGATGTAAAATGAATGATATTGCTCCATTTTATTACCTCTAGTGAAATAGCCATTTGTATCATAAATTCATTGACCTCATCGTAAATGATCAATTCTGCAAGACAGACTTGATTCATTAATTCCTAAGTGACATTTTTTTCTCCTCCAGTAATTTTCCTCGTTGTTGTAGAGACTGTTTTTCTGCCTTTTTGTATGGTATTGTGAGGCATCATATTACCTGCGCATTACCTGCATATGGGTCCCACATTTTTATACCTTTTATCTTAACTAAGCAGCACAGACTGATTGCTTATGTAAATAAAAAGAATGAGAGAAAAACAAAATAAAATTATGAAATACGTGAATGTAGAAGATGGATAGTTTTCACTGATGTTGTAGCTTCAACACTTTGAGATATTGCATGGAATCAATGAGATAATTATTGAATATTTGGTCTACGCAGGGTATTCAAAGGAACAGATTTGCTGCCTTTAATTTCTCTGGCTTTAATTAATTTTATCTAGTGATAAAATATACAGAAGGGTCTGTGATCAATATGTGAGTGAGGCAGGAGTGCTTCAGAGTTTCTTCTTCTTCAGTGAATTATTGAAAACTGGAGAAATCAGTAGAGAATTTGTAAGGAGGATTTCTAAATATTTTACCAAGGAAGAGAAAATATTTGTTTAGCCAGGAGAGACACAGGAGCCCACTGGAGATAAACAAATCAATATAGCAATAATACAGTGAAGTGTTTCAGTGAATTTTTCAAATCCTAACTAATAAAATTAAATTATTAGAAAAGATGCCACAATTTTTTGTGGGGATGTATTTCTCTTTCAGTCCCTTTAATTAAGGTCACGGATGGGGCTCTTCCTAGAGGAGGCTGGGCTTACTCTCTCGTATTTCTCAGGTGCTTCTTTGGCAGTGGGCTTACAAGGTCGTTTGCTTCCTTGTCCCAAAGGAAAGGCGAGTCTTCACTGCAGCTGCGCCTGAAGTCCTGCTCCATCCCTCACTGCAGACACCTCTGAGGCCACTCTCCTCCTTGTCTTTCCACTGCAAATAGATGGTGATGGGCCAGGATGGGCTTCATCCTGCCCCTGCCTGCCTCAGGAGCTGTCTGGGAGCTCCTAGCACCAATTTGTACACCTGCAGAACATGGGGAGACCCTCTGCATCCTTGCCAGCCCTGGGGGCAAGAGCATGCTCTGCAAGCAGCAGGAGGAGTGTGGTGGAGTGCATCCTGATTCCATACATGCAAAATAGATAGCATTTTGTGGCTACAGCAGTGAGCTCTTGCTCAGAAATTACTTTAAGGTAAATTCATCAGCTCCACTGAGTTAAGTAGTATCCTATTACCTCATGGTGTAGACTCACAAATTCCCCTTTTGTCTGCTTTGAAAACAGTGGCAAGCCAGAAGATTTCAGGAGGTTGATTATAGGATGGTTCCATCATGTGTGCTGACTTGCCAGGTGGGTGGCAAGACCCACACCCATGCCAAATATGCAGGATGGTTTGGTGCCCACTGCCCAAGAGTTTGCACTATTTGCAGCACAAGCTCCAAGGCCGTCTGTGATGGCCACTGAGCCTTCCTGTGGGGAGCAGACAGAGGGCTGTTACCTGATAAAATCCAGGAGCTGTTGGAAGTGGGATTGCCCCCTCTGCCCTGCTTGCTGCACTCCCGTTTTCCCATCTGCCCCACGCTTGGGGGGATGCATGCACCATGGCACTGCAGGCATTTATCTCAACAGTTCTGTGCATTTGACAGCCTTTCTGTCCGCATATTTTAGGGTGTGACACCATCACTGTGTGTTCAATGCAGGGCTGGACTTGCTTGCACCAGGAAATTTCCTTTTTTGCAATGGGGCACCATGCTGGAAATACATCCTTGCTGATGCCACTTGCACCGAGCAACACCAGCACCTCCTCTGCTTTATCTCGTGGGACACAGTGTCTGTATGCTCAAGCTAAAAATCCGGGTCCCGCATTCCTAAACTTCAGGGCTGACTTAGGAGTTTCTATTTCTCAATTGATTATTCAGCTTGATTTAAATGTTGGGATAAAAGAAAGGGAGTGTGTGCATGTGTGTGTGAATGGCGAGGGGAGCAGGAGGGAAACAAACAGCAACCTGACAGGATAGCCAAAAAATCAAGGAGTTAAATGGGCTAATAGCCATAGCATATAGTGTGTGTGTGTGTGTGTGTGTGTGTGTATGTGTATGTGTCTATATACATTAAAGATACATTACTGAAAACTCAAGAATGTCGCCACTGTTTATATTAAAGGAAAGCTGAGAGTTAAATGAGATGGGTAATCAGATGCCCAGCATATGTTGTTTTGAATTGTTTATATGGCCAATAGTTATTAAAATTAATTATCCTTTTAATGCAGTCTTTTCACAATCATGCCTTCTTTGGGGTTTTTAGTGTATTTTTTTCCTTTGTACAAAAGATAGAGTAATTTCAAAACAAGTTAACATGGGCTATTTGGAAAAGGCAGAACAAACAATACCAGGATATATTATGACATGGTCATAGGCTCAACATGCTGATAGAAAGCACCAAAAATCTCTGTCAGTGGAGTATTTTGAGAACTAATGTAAATGACAAAAATGGGGGGGTTTTGTGTGTGTAAAATTCTGTCAAAAAAGTGAGGCACTGAAAAATCTGACATCTGTTTATCTGTTTATAGCTATGGCAAGATTACTCATATTAATTCTTGTTTAAAATGCCATATGAAGGAAAGGCATTTGTGCAAACAAGAGTCATATTTGAATTGTAGATCATGTCTTCACCATCTGTGAGAGCTGTTGGTGTTGCAAAATTAATGTGTTAATGAAATCACAATAATTTCTCTGAAGTAATGGATTCTGAAGCCTAGAATGACTATTTTTTGAACTTTGGTGTCTAGTGGTTTACAACTGGGAAAACCTTTCACAGCTTAATTAGTTCTGCAGCATTATTTAAAAAAAAATTGGCTGTGCCTTCACCACACCAACAGCAACACAAAAAAGGATTAAATGGAAAGCAGAGAAACAAAACAAAATTGAGCTTGCAATGCAAACTTTTTGCCGTAGTATTTGAGAAGTTGCTAAACAGGTCCTTGCTTGCCAAGAAGTTTTACTCAAAGTGACTTGTACACAAGAGTGGGCAAACAGCTCAGAAAATAATTCCAGCTTGCTGAAACATCACAAATTGGGACTATTCGAACCTTACACAAATATCCTGACTTTTTCCAAGTTTCTCCTTGGAACGAAGGGCAAAGAATCAATGATGCTTTTTGCTTTGTGATGCCATTTTGAAATACCACACTCTTTCCAACTTATTATTTGATACCCTTAGTAGAATACTAAATGTTACTGTGGGCTGCAGTTTAGCAGAAAATGGTTTGCATTCATTTCCAGCAATTTTCTGAGTCCTTTTCCAGTTCTCACACTCCTTGTGTAGTATGGCATCTCAGATGGCACAGGCGTGCTTAGATTACCACCAAGGAGTAATCACAGCCATACTCATATGGACTCTGCATACTTACATATGCGTGTTATAACAGTTTATGCCAGCTGAGGATTCTTCTCTGTGCTATGGATTTAAGGCATATAATGCATGGTATAAGGTAGAACTGAGATCATGGGAGCCAGAAAAGTGAGTGGCATACAATTCATTAATATGTTGGAGGGGAAAAAAAGGTGCAGTTTTCACAAATGTAACTTCTCTTTTTTCCTGTTAGAAAAATAATGTATTTAGCAACTGAAAAATTACTTTAAAAATAACACTATGAAGAGAAGATTGCTTTTCTTACCTGATTTGATTTTATTACTGTGTTGTAGGTATGTGACTGGTGTAAGCACATAAGACACACAAAAGAGTATCTGGATTTTGGGGACGGGGAAAGAAGGCTTCAGTTCTGCAGTGCAAAATGTCTCAATCAGTACAAAATGGACATTTTCTACAAAGAGACACAGGCCAATCTTCCAGCTGGACTGTGCAGTACATTACATCCTCCAGTTGAAAATAAAGCAGAAGGCACTGGGGTGCAGCTGCTGACTCCAGATTCTTGGAATATACCGCTAGCAGATGCTCGGAGAAAAGCCCCATCCCCAGCGTCTGCAGCTGGCCAAATTCAAGGCCCTGGACCATCAGCGTCTACCACTGCCTCTCCGTCTGACACTGCCAACTGCTCTGTCACTAAAATCCCCACGCCAGTTCCCAAACCTATTCCCATCAGTGAGAATCCAAATATTCCACCAGTTTCTGTCCAGCCACCTGCTAGCATTGTGCCTCCAATTGGTGTCCCACCTCGCAGTCCTCCCATGGTGATGACAAACCGTGGGCCAGTTCCTCTGCCCATATTCATGGAACAGCAAATTATGCAGCAAATCCGTCCACCGTTTATTCGTGGGCCGCCTCACCATGCCTCAAATCCTAACAGCCCTCTGTCAAATCCAATGATTCCTGGAATTGGTCCCCCACCAGGAGGCCCCAGAAATATGGGTCCCACCTCTAGCCCCATGCACAGGCCAATGCTTTCCCCCCATATCCATCCCCCCACAACACCTACCATGCCTGGAAATCCTCCCGGCTTGTTGCCACCTCCCCCTCCCGGAGCTCCTTTGCCCAGTCTTCCCTTCCCCCCGGTCAGCATGATGCCAAATGGTCCTATGCCTATGCCACAGATGATGAACTTTGGATTGCCATCCCTTGCCCCCCTGGTGCCACCCCCAACTCTACTAGTGCCATATCCTGTCATTGTCCCTTTGCCCGTTCCCATCCCCATTCCCATCCCCATCCCTCACATCAATGACTCCAAGCCCCCCAATGGCTTCTCCAGCAATGGTGAAAGCTTCATTCCGAGTACCTCCAGCGAGACGCCTGGGGCAAAGCCAACCAATAGCTCTTCATCCCCTCGAGAGTCAAAGCAAGGATCATCCAAATCCTCTGACTCATCACCGAGCTGCTCAGGCCAGTCCCTTAATCAAGCTAAAGTGCTTCAGGAGCACAGTAAAAATGAAGTTGTTGATTTGACTGTCAGACCTAGTAGTCCAGTGAACAGTAAATTTGGTTTCCCCAGTGTGCTACAGGGTCCACAGGATGGTGTGATAGACCTAACAGTAGGCCACCGGTCTAGGCTGCACAATGTCATCCACAGGGCTCTGCACACCCAAGTGAAAGTTGAACGTGAACCTAACAGTGTTGTAAATTTGGCTTTTGGTAGCTCAGACAAAAGGAACTGCAGTGACTGCAGGGACAACTGCAGCCCAGTTGACTCAAAAACGTTACCGTGCAGTGACGGAGCTCACTGCTGTCCCGTCTCCTTGGCCTCTGGCACGCCAGGACTGGAAGCTGGCGCAGCGGTGTGCAACGTCATTGTGAATGGCACAAAGAGCACAGAGGGTTCCAAGAACCCGGAGCCGCCCCAGGAGCCGAAGAAGCCGCAGCCCCCGGAGGAGCTGGCGGTGAGCGAGCTGGAGTCTGTTAAGGAGAACAACTGTGCTTCAAACTGCCACCTGGAGGGAGATGCTGGCAAGAAGACTGGGGAAGAGCCCCTGGCTGGGGGAGACAAACAGGACCCGAACCTTAACAATCCAGCAGATGAGGACCATGCATATGCTTTGAGGATGCTGCCCAAGACAGGTTGCGTGATCCAGCCTGTGCCAAAACCAGCAGAAAAGACTGCTATTGCACCATGCATTATCTCAACGCCAATACTCAGCACAGGGCCAGAGGATCTGGAGCCACCATTGAAAAGGAGGTGTCTCCGAATTCGAAATCAGAATAAGTAAAGGTTTGTGTAATCACTACTGCCTTCTGTGTGAATAGAATTCAATATTATCGGGTATGAGGTCAAACTCATGTGGATGTGGCCTTTATGAAACAAAAATATACAAATTCCAATTTATAAGCACTTTCAGAAAACTATTGGTATTTGTGTTTTAGTATTGTTTTTTGTGTTGTATTGCATCTGTACTTGTCAGTACTCCATTCATCAGCAGCCTCATTACACTTTTGCTCAAAGAACATATCGTGGTGATTCTGGCTGTGAAGTTATTGTGCTGTGTATGTCAAAGTCAGTGGTTTTCTGCCTAGAATATTGTACAGGTCTGGGCCATTAATCTGCTTACTTATTCCAGCTGAGTTACACAGCAACTCAAGACTTCACAATGACTGAAATTGCCCTGCAGTGTAGCATAGAGCTGGATGACCCAGCAGCTTCCTGTTAGCTCAGATCCAATGGACTTATTAGGAAATGGTCACCTCCAAACATCTTACTTTGGCTTTCCTATTACCTGTTCTCTAGAGACTGAACTCATCTCTATGAGCTTTCCTTTCTCATGTATTGGTGCTTAGGGACTGCCTGCTGTTTGGGACCTGCCCGCTGTTTGGGACCTGCCCACTATGATTTATTGCAGGAAAACCTCTGCCATGAGGCTTTACTGCCTTACCTGAGGTATCTGCCTTTGGTGCAAGTCTCCCACCTTAGAAAAGCAGCTGAGATTTGCCCCGGCCCTGCGCTTGGTTTGTGGCTCCTGCTAGGGTTGCAGAGCAAGGTAGAGATATGGGTAACTCAACCAACCCTCATGCCTTGTCCAAGGACAGTGCTCCAGATGCAGAAACCTCTCATCCTTCATTTCCAATATCCAGCCTATTGAATCTCTCTGATCTTTGTAAAACTCTTAGTTTAGTATGTGTCAGATGCTTCAAACTTGTGAGCGAGTAACTATCTAATGAATCTTCTGTGTCTACCATCCAAAAACGGCTCTGGCAGTCACCCTCGTACCACCTGAGCTGGGATAGAAGCCCCTCCACAGCTACACACCCCACACTCACACAATCAGACCAGGTTCCCTCACTGGCTCGACCCTAGGTTTTCCATAGCAGAGTTCTCAGATATCCCAATCCTTAAAATAATTTCATCATGGTGCAATAAATAAATAACAAAACCACAACTCAAGCTGATGCCTTTGAGTAGGGATCCAGAACAAAGGAACCCCTTGGCTTTTGTACCTTCTATACCCTCACAGTCTAAGCACAGGAGAATCTGGGGGTTGTTGGGGTTGAGTTTCAGGTTACCCTGTGTCCTTTGTTATGGAAAGCATCAGTGTCCATTCCCATCTTCTTGCCTGGTGCTCAGGCTTGGGCTTCTGCCCCTCCCCAGAGCTCAACCTGCAGCTGGCACTGCAGCTGCACACTGAGCTACCTGCACTGAATATATTCCTTAACAAAACAAATGTAATGGAATTTATTTAGATCCACAAGCAAGGAGAGCTTCTTTCAGGAAAAAGGGAAATGGTGGGTGTTGCAAGAAATCTGTTCAGCAGTAAAATACTGATGGTTCACCGGATGTGGCTTGGTGACATGCCAGATTTCATTACAGTCCGTGGAATATTCTCTAGCCTCCAGTAAATCCCTGTCCCTGGTAGCACAAATAGTGACTGCAGTGGTGTTTGGCACCTACAGCCACAGATAGCAGCAGCAGCAGCAGGCTGTGTAATCTGGGCCATTGCAGTATCTCCCTGCTCCATCAGTGTGGGCTAATTACACCATCAAAGATATATAGTATAGTCAGGACTCCCTTCTCATTTGTTAGCACTGCATTCCCTGTGCTGGTTGCAGGGCTGGAAACATTACTTCCCTTTTTTCATCACCAACAGTATTTATTTACTTTCCTCAGTGAAACACAACCATTATTCTTTGTTCTCAGCATGTGCTGACACGTTTTAAAAGATACACTAATAAGAATAGAGGACAACTATCACATTCTTGGACTAGTAATCAGCATATACAATTACTTGGAGTTCAAATGAAAATTTAAAATCTTTAAACACTCGTAGGTCCTATTAGTGGAGGTCCCCCTACCTACCCCTGAGGTATGGAATGTATGTCCCTTAGAACCAGTATCTTTGTTGCAAACCCCAGTGTTACCTCTGGAGCTTGAAAGATTCCCTTCATAAATGTATGCATGCTTCTACCTAGGGGTAGTGATTTGATCTAGTGAGAAGGCTGCTATTTGGCTGTATCCTTTTTATTAAATTTTAGGAGAGCCATGGTTAACCCTTCCTTTCCCACCTCGTTGAAGCTCCTCATAGCTGCTTATTTCAAGACAGTGCTGGAAGATTTGCACATTTATGTCCTTATTCTGTAGTCAAAGACAGGCTGGTTCTTAGCATCTATTTCTGCTTGCCTGCACCGTCCAGGCTGCAGCACTGCTGCCTCTTCAAGGTCCCAGTCCCAAGAGGAGTTTAGTATCATTCAAAGCCATAGCTTAAACCTTCAGAGAGAGTTCTGGCTTCACTGAATTGTGTATTTTTGCCTGTTGACGTGATTATTCATGACATCACTTCACAGATAGTATTTGAGAGAGAAAGTGGGCAAACTGAACAAGCTGCATTGGAAAGACAAGGATATTTTATCATTCTGTTACAGTCCTCAGCCCTTTGTATTCTCTAAATGTCAATAACTGCCACTGTGATTATCCTCAGGAATAACCATTTTCCCTTTCATCCTAAGTTTTACATATTTCTTTGCCTCAGTGTAAGGGTTGTCTTACAGGGAAGTTTTCAGGTTGCCAGGCAAGATTAATCTGACCCAATACAGACATCTGTAACAAAGATGAAGCTGAGCTAATTGTCTAAACTCTCTTTAAAATCAATCTAGAGAAGGAAGCACTTCAAAGAGACAGCTGAGCTCATCCCAGAGTCAACAACTAAGACAGCTCAGATGAATTGTGCCCTAAGAGTGCCTATTTCTGCCTGCAGTGAGGGAAACTTAGAGTGACTGGCACAGACATAGATGTCCACATGGATGCTGGAAGTTAAGAAGCCCAGCTTAGTAGCATAGCACAGCATGGTGATGGTTATTAGACTGTGTTCATCCCCTTGTTCCTCCCGTAAAAGAAAAGAAGTAGCCTCTGTGCAGAGGATATGGGAGACCAGGGTCCTTATGTGCTCCAAGGGAAAGAGGATACTCCAAATACTCAGCAGAAGTAAACAGCATGGTAACCATCTCATTCCAGTGGGTACCTCAGTGAAATGCGGGTGGGTTTTGAGCTTCTCAAGGCACGCACAAGTGATTTGTGCAGCTCTGGTGATTGATTTGAGGTGAGGACTCTGTGGTTTCACAGAGTCCTTCTTTCGCTATTTCAGCATTGCTGGTCATAGCTAGTCTGGGGGAGCAAAAAGGGCTCTGCCTTAGATTTCTGCCCTCCCTGCCTGTGAGGACTGAGCAGGGCTCAGAGCCTGTCGGTGTCTATGCAGAGGAGGCAACAGGGGAGAAAATATCAGTGTAGCCTCTTGCACTGCAGCCCTGACCTCTGCCATCCCCATGGGTTAGTTTCTCCTGCACAGGCTTTGGGAAGCAGGGAGATCAAACCCTTCTTCTGCAATCCAGTTGTGGGGAGAATACCTCAAGAGAGACTCCAACCTCATAAAAATTCTAATAAATTACAAAGAGGATAGAAGCTGCACTAACATATGTGTTAATGTGGGCCCTTGGAGATTTGTACTGATAGCACTGGCCACACTAACCTGGGAGAAAAAAAGTCCAGCCAGTTGTCTTTTCCTGTCTTGATTCTTACCTACCCGAATCAGAAAATCAGAACATATTGCCCTAATGTGCAACTTCTCCTGGATTTTATTTCCCATCAAATTGTGTGACAAGAGGGAAATTAGCCAAATATTTTTACGCTAGAGTTCTGGACAGCCAGATTGAATTCATGTAACAGCAACACTAACTCTCTAAAAAGGAATCAGTGCAAGCGTAACCTTTTTGGGCAAGTTTCCAATCTCTGGATTATTTAATGTACCAATTACTTGATTATTGAAAGTGCTAATCAGCAACATAATCCTTGATGTTAAAGTTTAGTTTCTCCATCAGGACGTGGACTGTCAAGCTGTTCTAGCTTGATGCAATTTGAAAAACTATCAAAAGATGTCTCAGTGCCAAAGTCCTGCTATGATAAGGGAATGAAGCTAGGAAGAATATTCTGTTGAGTGTTACATTTTCAAGTTTCAGCAATGTGAGTTTCTAAAATTAGCAGTGTTAGTGTTGCCTGCCTACATGCTTTATGCCCTGGCGGGATCAGTTTTAACCCGTCAGCTTTGATGTCAACGTTTCCTAAAGCAAAGAAATGAAAATACTGAGGTCTGCTTGGATTTAACATGATAGTTATGTTAAACTAAATGAGAAAATGAAGTGGCACATGCAAAACTCACAACCAGCTTCTGTGTGTGCATATGTGTGTTTGTGTTGAGTAATCCTGTGTTGAGGACAGAGGGGTCAGGGATGGAAGGAGTTTTTCTGCTTGGTGTATGGCTACCTACAGAGCCAACCTATATGTCCCAGGGTCGGCATCTGCTGAGTGAAAGTCCCAAACCTTCAGCTGCCTGGTCATCCATGCATTGTGAAAATACACAGCATGCAGAACACTCAGTCCAGAGCAGAAGTAATATATATCTCACTTGGAGCTCCTCTGCCCATAATCGTCCAGCACAAGATTTTCTGCTCTAGTCTGGATTCCTGAGGCAAGGGGCATAGATATCAACCTCATTTTTTTTTAGTCTAAGAGATTTTCTCTCTCCTCTCTCACTGTGGTATCTATCTACCAACATCTTTCTTACCTCTGCCCAGCTTGCTATGATCAGGATAAAATTTGACCTTAAAGGTATACTTGAAAACAGTTTTTTCTATATTTGAACACATTTCTATGCTAGTCATCTTTGTTGACACGGTACTACGGCCAGAGCCTTAGCTAATATTAACTGGATATAGTTCCACTGATGCCAGACT